AAGACAATCAAGTCAACTAGAGAACACCTAATGTGCAAGTGAGAAGTTCCACAACCATTTGCATACCATTTCTACCATTTTGTTTCTACCTTATTTGGGATACATTAAAATTATCATCCCTTATCTGAGAATAGAGAGTAAACACTCAGCAAATTCTAGTAACTCTTGAAAAATAAGAGGAAGTTGAGAGGTTTAAGAGAGAAAACCAAGTTCAAGCAAGGAACCCAAGATCCCGAGCAACCTTGTTCTTCTTTCTACTCATTCTCGTTTTCTTGAAGGAGGTAAGATGCCACCTCTTTAGAATGTCATTTAGATGATATTAAGTGTATAATGATATACGTACATTCCCTAGATGTTCAGTTTAAAAGTGTTGATAAGTATGCAACACAATAATGTTATTTCCAACTCGCATGATAAATCTCGTTTGTATGGTCTCTGTTTTACCTCGGTGTTTGACCTCAGAAACTCATTATCTGAAGTTGGATTCTTCTTGTGAAATGAAGTTTGTTTTGGTTTCTTTCTCTAGGCTTTGGAATCATGTATTTCCGATTTGAAACAAATAAGTTATGATTTTTATAAAATGAGTGCGCAATCAGTTTTTGAAGACCCGACAGCATGTATCAATAAATTTTTGGCCTGTTTATGGTGTCATAATGTGATAAAAAATGAACTTGTAGTCTTCATAAAAGTTATAGGTTTGTTCCTTATCTTTCAAATGAGATAAATTTCATGTTGAAATGTGCTTTGTAGCTCGAGTTGCGTTCAAATTATTGTAGATAGGTATGAGTCGAGTTTTAAACCTTTGGCAGAAAATTGATTCTAAATGTTACTCGCTTGTAGACCATCTTAAAGACCTTATCTGCTTTTGTGTTTTAAATGAAAGTTATAGAACTGCCTCTTAGCTTTCTAGGGATGTATGAATCATGTCATTATGATAAGTATAGTGTGATATATGTCTATTTTACTAAATTTGTGCACAAGTATGCTCGTGTTCTCGGACTGCAACTAGGTTCATAATGTTAGTCACTAAAGGACCTGTTAATGTCATTATTTGATTCTAGAGTCTATATGAAAGTTGTAGACATTTAAGTTAGCTATCATTTGAATTTTGGATCTCATTGAAAGCATGCATGTAGCTCCACTTAGCTAACATTTACTGAAGTCTGGTCAGTTGCATATTCCCGGTTTTGGACTGTAACTCTAATTTGGGTGTTTGCTGATTTATTGCCTGTTAAATGGCCTTATATGCTTTCAGTGTTTTTATAAGAATTGTAGATGCATGTCTTAGGATTCCAATGCAACTTGAATAATATTCATATGAGTTGTGTGCTGAGAATTATGTTGGTTTTAAAAACGCTGCTCGGGTTAGGATTTGAAAAACCTTACGTGGTGTTTTCATAAATGGGATTTCCGTGATTAAATGCATGTTTAAATAATTTTGTGAGCTTAGTTGGACTAAGTGATTGTTATGATTAGTTTCCATAGGTGGAATAGTCATTTATAGGATATTTTAATATGTAGGTGTTTACGAGCCGAGCTCGTTGCCTACACGTGTTTTGTCTGGTCTCTTGCTTTCGACCAGGTGGGTACAATTTGTGGTATCTATAATTATCGCACTTTTTATTTCGTATAAATGTTTGTTTCGATAGCTGCTGTATGCATGAGAACCCTAGTCTAGGTTTCCCGTGGTAGTACTTTTGATGAATGCATAAACAGTAAGAGGTCACCTGCCCGTTTGCCTAGTTGGGAGGTAGACGCCCTGAACCGTTTGACTAGTCGGGAGGGGAAAAACAGCTCCACTGTCTCCCGAAAAGGATCCCTTTGCCTATGTCGAGCTAGGGAGGGAAGGTTTCCAGTTACTTCCTTGCCGATGTCTGATCGGAAGGTTGTTGTATGTACATAGGAGGTTTGCGATAGGGCCATATAGAGATGAGCCATGGATTATATGCGTACATTAATTATGGTTTTGAATCTTTATGCGAAATATACTATGCGGTATTGGTGAGCATGATGGTTTTGCTCACCCCCATTGTTTGCTTTGTCCTCTTGTTTCCTCTTCCTATCTTTAGGTTGAGCAATGTTGTTGGCGGCGGCAGCGAGAGAAGATCAAGTGGTGTTCATTGGATTGTCATGTATTTACTTTCACTTTATTTACCTATGTTGGATTGTTATTTTTGGTTTATGATGCTTCCGCTTAAACTATTTTGAACATGTTGATTGGATCATGTCGAATCTCTTGGTTTGGTTTGAATCTTTTAATAACTTAGTTTGATTATTATGATGTTAGAAATGCCTGTGTAGGCTCCTGTGATTAGTCTTGATTGTTCTTTTTGTTAGTACTTAAGTAGCACCCGTTAAGGCTTTAAAATTTTAATTTGGAATTTTGCGAAAAATTTATTCTTTTTTTTTAAAATAAACTCGGTAAACTCTTTAAAATAAAATGGGGCATTACAATATGGTATCAGAGCTAGTCTGCGTTTCTGTAGACTATCTCCAGTGTTATTGTATTATTGACCATGACCACTCGCTTCGTCTCGCCGAGCTAGCTCGAGGTATTAGTTTTGCTGTTTTGCTTATCTTGTATGGGGCTTAAAAAATTTATCCACCTTTGGTTTAATTTGGACTCTAGTGTTTAATGATGGACTCTAGAAATGTCCTCCTTACATATATGGACTTGAACTCTAGTGGTAAAGAGTTAAGTCACGACTCTAAGAGCTCGTTTGGGACTGCTGACACGTTTAGCTACATGAAAAAGAGCTTACATGGTGGCTGACACTGTTAGTCGGAAGAGTCAAGCGAGCTAACCATTCCGTTGTTTGGCGACGACTGTCGAGTTAGGATTGTTTCTGGCAGTGATGCCAATGTTTGATCCCTTTGGGAAATTATTGTTGTCAAACCCAAATCTTTGTAGTTTTGAGTCTTGTGGAGAAACCTTTTTCCTATCTGAGTACCTAGGAAATTGTGAAACGCAGAAATTGAAATTTTTTGTATGTACCCGAACCAAGCGTCGAAGCTGGCTGGGTGTAGTCACGCGAAGTGGTGGTCGAGCATGCACGCCCGAGCTGAGAGATGCGAGGCTGGCGCGCAGCCAACCGTTGACTCGCTCGTGAACTGCAGCCGCCATCACCGCACGCAGGAACTCCTCAGGCCAGTGTATATGGCCAAACCTAGACCTTGTAGCTGGTATCTGAGTAGGTACATGCACGCGTCCCAGCGCCCCGCATATGCAGCGCCAGCGTGTGTGCCACCTCTCCGATGACAGTGCATAAAACCCAGACCGACCTTGTCCTTTTGGGGGTCCTTGAATTAGTATTCTTGGTTAAAATAGTATTTTGATATTTCGAACCGTGTATGAATCCTCAAATCAACAACTCTCGATTATGCGAGACTCGTCGATTAGTTTCCTCTGCCTCGTGAAAAATTTTGTCGAGATGGCACGATATAAGTCCCGCATTGATGTTGAGTGGAGTCTTGAGTCTCGACTAGGGACTATGTATACTTCGTAGACATCGAGACCTACGAAGAGTGGAGGGTATTGGAGTTAGATCGTTAGTAGGAAAATGTCGAGCATCCCCAATTGTGAGACCGACTCTGCGGGAGGAGATCGATACCGAATAACTAATCGATACTTCCTAACCCGCACATGAGATATTACTCATGTCGATGAGGAATGAGGTTTTGTCATAGGTATCAACAGAGCCGTGTGTTCTGAAGGTATCGGTTTCGAGGAAAGCCAAAGGAATATTTTAATTAAAAAAAATTCTCAATCAAGAATCAAGTAGTATTATATCGATGTGTGAATCAAGCATATACTAGAAGGAGTATATTTTTACACCATCAATCTATTTGAAAAGATAGAAACGTTAGCAACCTTGAAAATATGAAGAAACATAAAAGATTCATGAAGATTCAAGCACACTGTTGAGGATATCATTATTACTAAGAAGCTAAAACAGAGACGTCAGATATAGCAAAAATAGATAAAGTAAAAGTGAATCCTCAACTAATACAAGATAATATACAGGGAGGGTGCGTCTCAAGAGTACAAGACCCCTTAACTCTGCCACCCATAACATATATCAGGGTTTATAAAGATAGATCCGTTGGATCAAAAGTCCGCTTTCGCTTAATCCCTTGAGTTTCCACAAAGTCTTGAGAAGTGATGTTTTCTTGATGTTTCTTGATAAGTCCAACAACAATATCTGCACATTTGAAGATCTCTCTAGTAGAATCAGATATAAAAGTCTGAATTAAACTGTCATCAAGAAAACCAAGAAGGCCATTGAAGATGTGATGGGAATTTAATAGACCCATGGGCTTATTATGAAATTTCATATCTGCCCAAGAAGCAATTGTAAACATGGTCATTAATGTGTCATATCCACCAGGAAGTATGATGAAAGCATCACTATGGTTCACCATAAACATAGTGCAATCATAAATAGAGTTAGAAAGCATCAGACTGGTAGAATCTTTAAGAACTTTTGAAGGAGTTCTATGAAATGGTAGAACACTTTTCACTTCAATATCAAAGCATTTTCCAGCCAGGAGAAAACTACCAAAGAAGGCGAGGCTAGTTCCTCCATACAGTAAATTGATCTTTGGTTTTCCCAGTTCTCTTACTAGTTGGGACACAATATCAATATTTAGAGAAGAAGCTACAAGTTTAGGACCGCCAAGAACACATATGGTTTTTATAGGTTAAAGAACCTTAGTAACTTGAGAAAGACTCAGAAACCTCCATTTGGTGTGGAGAGATCAAAAAGAATGATCGGTACATTAAGGAGAAAGTTCATGAAGAGATAAATATTATATTGTTGCACTCGGATAGAAGCAACAGGCAAGTAAGAAGTTAAGCTTTAAATGAGCGTTATCTATCAGAAGGGATAAGATATTCAATACCTTATAATAAATAAGGTTAACGAAGACAGTTGTTGCTAGCAACAATATTTTCGAGACTATAGCGGTTTTGTTCATTTTTTAAGTAGACTCATAAAGACATAAGCTCTCGATGCACATATCCACTGGGATGTGCCTCAAGAATTTGTTGAAGGGTTTGATCCAGAGATTCCTTATTCAATCCATTATTTATGAAAGCTATTTTATCTTCTCGATTATTAGACACAAATGCTAAAGAAGTACAACGTGTGTCACAGTTCCAACGAGCACATTTATAGAAGCCGTCTATTCTTTTTGCTCTTCGTTTCTTGGCAAAAGTACTTCTACCCATACCTGTCATATATTTATATGCGTTGGGAAACTCTCCAAATACTCGAACTTTTGCTTCAATCAACCATCGAATATCATTGGGGATATTATTGAGCATTAGCACTCTCAACCTTTCTACTCGAGCTCGATAAATTTTTTTATGATATTAATAGAAATGATGGAGTGAAATTCTCAGATTTTTGACAATGCTAAATACATTTGTGATTCGAGACCAGTGCTGAAGAAAGTTGAAGGATCTACCGAGTCTGTTTATAGAGCAATGGCACGTATGAGATACGACTTCAATTTGTGCGTCTGAGAGCGAATTGGCGTATGAGATAAGATTTCGGTCATAAATTTAGTATTAAAATTTACCGAGTGGTTGAATACGCAACCAGAGTGCATTAATGGCAGCCGGAAGAAGATGTGAGATGTCAGTAATAATGATATCACAATGAATTATTGTGATACTTACTCATTTACTATTGTCGGTGTGTATGATTGACAGTAAGAGATGGTTATTCTCAAGCTGTGAATATGTGGTATAATGAATGAGCAGAAAATGATCAATTTGACAAGGTAGAATACACTAACACAGTAATTACAACTTAGTTTCCCAAGGTTTCTCGACTATAGTTATGACAGGAGAATTTGACGTAAGAAAATTACCGATAGCAGTGCTAAACCAAAAGGTTTATGCCGACCGAAAGAGGCAGGAGCATGAGTATGCAGTTGGCGATCATGTCTTTCTGAAGGTCTCGCCCATGAAGGGTGTGATTCGCTTCAAAAAGGAGGGGAAGCTTCAGCCTTGCTATATTGGGGACTTGGCTTATCGGCTAGCTTTACCACCGGGGTTGTCAGGTGTTCATGAAGTATTTTATGTCTCGACGTTGCGTAGATATGTGCATGACCCCGACCACGCTGTGGACTTCGGAGAGTTGCAAGTTGAACGAGACTTTACCTATGAGGTAGTACCGGTGGCCATACTGGACCAGAAGGTCCATCAGTTGAGAAACCGGACAGTCAGCCTCGTGAAGGTGCGATGGAGTCAACATGACGAATCCGAGGCGACTTGGGAGAAGGAGACCGACATTAGGAGCAGATACCCGAACTTCATGTTTTTAGTTTCCCTTTGTATTCTATGGTGCTCTAGTTGTTTTGTTTTCGAATTCCGAAGGCGGAATTCCTTTTAAGGTGGGTAGATTGTAGCGCCCCGTTCGATTTATAGAATTTCTTGAATTATTCTATTTATTGAATTTTAATTATGAGATTATATTTTATATTATTATGTAGATACTGTGATTATATAGCTCGTTCGATGTTATTTTATCAGTCGCAGTTTGAATTTTCGGTGTAATCGCGTAAGCCGAATTTTTGTTCATTTGAATTCATTTTAGAACTGTTGCGACCCGAACTTCGTCTCATTTCAACCAGATATTGGGACCATTATATTTTATCTCTTTAATAGTATTTTCAGCCATCAAAACTGAATTCATACTCGTCCATAAGAATTAGAGAAACTTGTAGCCTCATCTTGCGAAATTTATTACCGGAGGTAATAACACCGAGCCACTTACATTTCTTGAGCCAGTGGCTCATTTTATAGCCATAATATTTCGAGCCATGTGTTATGTGAGTATAACCAGATGGGTTAAGAGTGGTTTGAGCCAATTTAGTTAGGTGGAAATGTATGAGAAGTCAACAACATGTGGTGACAAGTGTGACATGTGCTAGAAACAATATTTTTATGTCATTAGTTGGAGTTTTTGTCTTGATATACCTAAGAGTTGATTAAGGCACGTCCTTACATCACGTGAGACCAAACAAGGATAATTTTGGTTCAGCAAATCTCAGCAATTGTAGAGTATAATAGCACAAAGACAATCAAGTCAACTAGACAACACCTAATGTGTATGTGAGAAGTTCAACAACCATTTGCATACCATTTCTACCATTTTGTCTATATCCTAATTCAGATACATTATAATTATCATCCCTTAGCTGAGAATAGAGAGTAAACACTCAGCAAATTTTAGTAACTCTTAAGAAATAAGAGCAATTCGAGAGGTTTAAGAGAGAAAACCAAGTTCAAGCAAGGAACCCAAGATCCCGAGCAACCTTGTTCTTCTTTCTACTCATTCTCGTTTTCTTGAAGGAGGTAAGATGCCACCTCTTTAGAATATCATTTAGACGATATTAAGTGTATAATGATGTACTTACATTTCCTAGATGTAAAGTTTATAAGTGTTTATAAGCATGCAATACGATAATGTTATTTCCAACTCGCATGATAAATCTCGTTTGTATGGTATTTGTTTTACCTCGTTTTTGGACCTCAGGAACTCATTATCTGAAGTTGGATTCTTCTTCTAAATTAAGTTCGTTTTGTTTTCTTTCTCTAGGCTTTGGAATAATGTACTTCCGATTTGAAACGAATAAGTTATGATTTTTATGAAACGAGTGCGCAAGCAGTTTTTGAAGACCCGGCAGCATGTACTAATAAATGTTTGGCCTGTTTATGGTATCATAATGTGATCAAATGAAATTGTAGTTTTCATGAACGTTATAGGTGTTTTCCTTATCTTTTAGATGAGATTAATTTCATGTAGAAATGTGCTTTGTAGCTCGAGTTGTGTTCAAATTATTGTCGATAGGTATGAGTCGAGTTTTGAACATTTGGCAGAAAACTGATTCTAAATGTTACTGGCTTTTACACCATCTTAAAGACCTTATCTGCTTTTGTGTTTTAAATGGAAGTTGTAGATCTGCCTCTTAGCTTTCTAGGGATATATGAATCATATCATTATGATAAGTATAGTATGATATATGTCTATTTTACTAAATATGTGCAAAAGTATGCTCATGTTCCCGGACTGCAACTAGGTTCATCATGTTAGTCATTAAAGGATGTGTTAATGTCATTATTTGCTTCTAGGGTCTTTATATGAAAGTTTTAGACATTTACGTTAGCTATCATTTGGATTTTGAATCTCATTGAAAGCATGCCTGTAGCTCCAGTTAGATTTCTTGCTGAATTGCAAAAAGTTGTTGGGGTCAGTTGTATATTCCCAGTTTTTTACTGTAACACTAATTTGTGTGTTTGCTGATTTATCATCTGTTAAATGGCCTTATATGCTTTCAGTGACTTCATAAGAATTGCAGATGCAAGTCTTAGGATTCCAATGCAACTTGAATCATATTCATATGAGTTGTGTGCTGAGAATTATGTTGGTTTTAAAAACGCTGCTCGGGTTAGGTTTTGAAAAAAAACTTATGTGGTGTTTTTGAAAATGGGATTTCCTTGATTAAATGCATGTTGTTATGATTAGTTTCCATGGGTGGAATAGTCATTTATTGACTATTTTAATATTTAGGTGTTTACGAGCCGAACTCGCTGCCTACACGTGTTTTGGGTGATCTCTTGCTTTCGACCAAGTGGGTACATTTTGTGGTATCTATAATTATAGCACTTGTTATTTCGTATAAATTTTTGTTTCGATAGCTGTTGTTGCTTGAGAACCCTAGTCTAGGTTTCCCGTGGTAGTGCCTTTGATGAATGCATAAACAGTGAGAGGTCACCTGTCCTTTTGTGTTATTGCTATTTCCAGGTGGGTACAATTTGTGTATCTATAATTATCGCATTTCATTATTTCGTATAAATGTTCGTCCCGATAACTTCAGTATGCCTGAGAACCCTAGTCTAGTGTGTTACACAACCAGGGGCGTCTCGCCTTTAGTGCCTTTGACGAATGCATAAACAGTGAGAGGTCGCTGAACCGTTTGCCTAGTCGGGAGGTGGACGCCCTGAACCGTTTGCCTAGTCGGGAGGGGAAAAACAGCTCCATTGTCTCCCGAAAAGGATCTCTTTTCCTATGTCGAGCTAGGGAGGGAAGGTTTCCGGTAACTTCCTTGCCGATGTCTGATCGGAAGGTTGTTGTATGTACATAGGAGGTTTGCGATAGGGCCATATAGGGAGTTGACATGGATTCTATGCATACTTTAATTATGGTTTCGAATCTTTATGTGAAATATACTGTGCGGTATTGGCCCATGATGGTTTTGCGCACCACCATTGTTTGTTTTGTCCTCTTGTTTCCTCTTCCTATCTTTAGGTAGAGTAATGTTGGCGGCGGCAGCGAGAGACGAGCAAGTGATGGTCATTGGATTGTCATGACTTTACTTCCACTTTATTTACCTATGTTGGATTGTTATTTTTGGTTTATGATGCTTCCGCTTAAACTATTTTGAACATGTTGATTGGATCATGTCGAATCTCTTGGTTTAGTTTGAATCTTGTAATAACTTAGTTTGATTATTATGATGTTAGAAATGCATGTGTAGGCTCCTGTGATTGGTCTTGATTGTTCTTTTGTTAGTAGTTAAGTAGCATCCGTTAAAGCTTTAAAATTTTAATTTAGAATTTTGCAAAAAATTTATTCTTCTTTTTATATAAATAAACTCGGAAAACTTTTTAAAATAAAACAGGGCGCTACACATTGCTTCTTTAAATTTTTCAAACACCCAAATATATGACTCAACATCCTCTTCTGATAGCAAGGCAGCAACATATGTTACACATTTACCGTGGTTATCTTTGCAGTAAATGGAGCAAATATCATGTTATACTTGTGCAAATAAAAAGATTTGTCAAAAGTTAGCAACATAATTAAAGTGAAAATAAAAAAGTTGTTGTGATGATATATGATGATAAGCATTATTGTATTTATGAGATATAAATAATTGCATGTTTGCAGAGTATGTTGCGTCAAAAGATACTGTTGGAGTTATATACTTAAGCTTTGCTTTAATGGATATTACACTTGTTATTCCTTGATGAATGAGAATTATGTTTGGTTAAATAAGTTCCACGTCTTGTTGTTTTGCATGTAGATAAGTGGGTCGTCATCGGGCGTATCGAAGATCACTATAT